TCACGGTGACAGTGGTCACTGACGCCAACCAGTAGGTGACCTGCCCAGCAGGAGGGCAGGCACTCTGGCATTCTTCTCAGTTGGGAAACTGATTTCCACTGGATACAATGTACTGAGGCCTCAAAAGCAGGATTCATTTCCTGACCATCCTGTGTGCATTTCTTCCTGGACACCTGTGGGCCCACGCTGGCACGCATGCTCCAGCCCAGCCAAGAGTCCGGGTCTTAAAACCCGTTTTGCAGACAGGACACTGAGACCCAAGGTGCATGGTGGTTGTCCATGTCCTTTGGTGGTCCAGCCCTTGGTCCCCAGCTTCCCAGAGTTCCCCCAACCTCCTGCTTCCAACCCGCAGCCTCTGCAACCCAGAGGGGAGGAGAGAGAAGGTTTGGCCTGGGCTCATTTTGGGGAGCCAGAATTGAAGATCCTGCAACGTTTCTTGTAGACGGCCCCCTTCAGAATGCTCCGGCAGAACCTCTGCTTTGTTTCAGAGCCACGAGAACAGGAAACGTGATGCTAGTGCCATTTTGTGTGGGATCCAGGACTGCTTCTCCTGCGCTAGGAAGTCATCACCGTGGTTAAGCCATTAAGTTAATTAACACGGCTTTATTACTGCTGCCTCGGGACTCGGAGGTTGATGGAGTGCTTGGGCAGGCCCGCAGGGGACAGAGGAGTCAGGGCTGGGGGGGGGGGGGACCAGGAGACACCCTGCCCAGAGCTGGCTCGTGCCCCCACATCTGCTTATCCAGTGCCTCTCTTCCGTGGCCACCCCGGCACTAAAGAGGGGCTTACGGTTCAGAAGTGCCCAGAGGACAGTGGTCATGGTCCAAGGACGCTGGTGGAGCCCAGGAGGGGCCGGTGACTGGTCTCACAAGGCTGGGTGAGGGACACCCATGAGCCACAATATTAGCCACACCCAGGTGTTAAATGCAACAGCTAAGGCTGAAGCCAGACCTCGAAACTCTTGGGGGTGGTGGTGATGGGGAACGTATCTGAGTGCTTTTCTTAAATCGCTTTCAATAAACTGTTCTGGTGTGGTGTTTTAAAATAGGTCCCTGTTTTTACATTCCTTCTCTCAACAGGGGGTTCAGTTCTCTTTGTGGGTGTGGGCTGAGCTTAACGACTCACTCCTAATGAACAGCAGGTGGTGGAAGGGAAGGTGCAGGCTCTCTGTGTGACTCCCACACAGCACAGACCTCCTGCCGGCAGGAGGTGACCTGCTTTTCTGGCAGTGCACCTTCCAGCCCCTGTCCAGCTTTCAGATGGCCCAAGCTTTAGCCAGCGTTGTGGCTGCAGTCCTACATGAGAACCTCTCAGCTAACTGCTCCTGAATTTCTGCCCACAGACGCTGTGAGACGTAATGAATATTTACTGTCCTCCAAAGCTGCAGAGTTTGGCGCTCATTTGTTACACAGCAACACGTAACTGACACACTTAGCGAGGACCCATTCAGATCTCAAGGTCAGCAGGAGACACAAGGGTCACTGTGGAGGACCCTACGCCTGGGAGCCTGGGATGGAAACTCTTTCGGCCTTGGTCTCTGCCTCAGGTCCCCAGCAGTGTTTGGCCATGAGCTAAAGCCAGCCTCCCCCTGGCTTCGCTGGGCTGGACCCCCTTGGGTTCTCTTGGCAGTGTCCTTCAGAGAGCTGTGGCCCTCTGCCCCAAGTCTTCCTGAGGGAATAACCAAGCCCTCCCCTGGGCGGCACTGGAGTGGAGGACAGAAACAGTGTCCCTGAGCAGGCTTAGAGCCTGGAGCTCCTGCCCTGGGAAGGTGCTGTTGATTACCCGGCTGGGGCCGAATGAATGTTCCCAGGCTACATCAGTGGCTCAGGGCACAGACCATGCGATGGCCAGTCCAGGCTCAGGAGACCACGGAGGGCAGGGAGGATGGGGAGGGACTGCTCTGGAGGCCGAGGCATCCAGCTCCGCAGCCTCTGCAGAAGGTGCAGATGGGAGCAAGAGCCTGAGAGCCGGGGTCCCTGTCTGCTTGGTCTGGTGCCACCTCCTCTCTGGCCAAGCCCGGCTCTCTGCACCGCGCAGGCTGCTGCTGACAGGCTCTGCCCAATGCCCTGCCGCAGGCTCCTCCCTGCTCCCCACCCAGCATGTTAGCATGGGGTCGTTGCTTCAGGGTCTTGGCTTACGCCGGCCCCTCTGCCTGTCAGGCTCCCAGCTCCTCTCTGACCGGTTCCCTTCCAGCAGAGGTGCAGGCGCTCCTCCCTGAGCAGCCAGCTTGGTTAGTCTGTCGCAGCAGCAATCTTAGTGGCCACACTCGTGAACAGGCCCTGCCCAGGCAAGGCCATGTTGGTCCTCGTCACAGCCCCACCCCCAGATTGGCCATGCCCGCTGCTGCCCAGCCTGGAAAGGGTCCTGGGAGACCTGAGTGAGCCCTCTGCTTGTGTTCATGTGAGCACTCACACGTGGCAGAGCTCTGCACCCTTGGGAGTGGCCTTGAGGCCCTGGATCCCCTACTGATGAGGGTGCCGCTGTCTGCCCTGGGCCTTGGCCACCTCAGACTGCCAAGCAGTATGAGTCACAGTAGGGACTTTGGGCCACGTGGTATCAGCTCAGCGTCCAGAGGCTGAAGACTGAGATCAGCAGCAGGGACAGGCAGCCCTGCTCCCACTGGACTCCAGAGAACCCCTGAGCCCATGGCTCAGTGAGCTTGACAACCCACATGTGCTACCACAGGGCATCACCCGGGAAGTGACTCCACCTGGACGCTGCAGGGGCGGATATCGGAACCCTGTGTTTGGGGCCTTCCTGGGCCCCAGACCCCAGGCCGCTTCCCTGGCTGATTTTCACGGGTGTCTTTTATATAAGAAATGGTAACTGTGATCGTGGAGGTGTTCAGCACATGCCTCGAGGCCTCCCGGCACACCCTCAAGCCCCAGGCTGATCTCCCTGAACTCACAGCGGGTCCTGGGAGTGAGGGCGGCTGGGGCTGCCTCTGCTGTGGTCCGGTATGTTTGTCCTCAAGGTCCCTGTGTGGGAAACTTGGTCCCCAGAGTGTGGGTGGGGGGCAGTGAGCCTGTGAGGAGTGGGGAGGGTGCTGGCTGGGGGTGCCCTCAAAGGTCAACAGCTCTCTGGCTTCCAGAGGAGATCCCCCTTCTACGTGGCCCGTGGCCTCTGCTGTGGCATTGCCATGAAGCAACACAACCAAGCAGCCCTCAGCAGAGCTGTGCCTGCTTGGGCTTGGTGCCCCACAGTATGAGCTAAGGGTTTCCCTGAGCATCAAGACCAGATAATGCACCCTCCGACGGCACAGTGTAGGTGGCCAGAGCCGGCAGGAGCCACCAGCCTCCCTCCTCCCCATGGACATGGCACCTGACTCACTGATGGGACCACGAGTCCTTGCTCTGGAGGGAACTCGCATCACTGGGTGAAGCAGCCTCTCCCAAGACCAATGGGAACAAGGACACTGTCAGACCCTTGGTGGGGGATGGTTGGTGGCCTGGGGTGCAGTGGCAGCCTTGTTGGCCTTCCCCACAGTCAGTCAGTCCTTCCTCTTCCTGAAGGCTGCAGGGAGAAGCAGCGCCACGGCCCAGACCCTGCCTGTAACTACGGAAAGTCCCCAACCTTCCTCTGCCGGGTCCCACTGCCGTCCCCTCAGTCCTGGATGGTGGCGTTTCTGCCTAAGGAACTCTGTGTGATGTCGGAGGGGCCCCAGGATTAACTGTGAGGATCCTGCAGATCTCTGGGTACAGCCTCATTTCCATTCTGGGGGATTGGGTGGGCCCTGTCTCTCCAGCCGGAGAGCTCAGCAGCACCCCGCAGGCCGTGGTCACTTCACAGCCTGGCCCTCTCCCCTCCTCTCCTCTCCTCACCTCTCCTCTCTCTCTGTTGGAGCTGCACCATGCTGTCCCCTGGCACAGACACTGAGGCCCAGGTCATCCCCAACCCCTGACCCTGAGATGCAGCTTGTCCTGCACGGCCCAACAGGCCCACCCCTTCCTGGCACTCTGGGGTGATCACCAATACACCTGTGACCTCCAGGAGCCCTCTGGGCTCCGAGCACTGAACGTCCCTATGTGAACAGTGCGTGGGGTTTGTTTGCGTTTTCTCACATACACATTTTCCTGTGCAAACCAGGGGCAGAGAGGTTTGCTAAGAAACTTACCAGGTAGTACCCAGTCCTGTCTTAGCTGAGAGGGGACCAGTCACAAGTCAGGGAGACTCAGGATCTGCATTCTGGTCCTTCGGGCCACAGCCAGGGACCTGACACAGGTCAGGGACACAGCTGCCCACACCTCTCCTCTGTTTCTCAGGCAGAACGAAGCCACAGAAAGGGCTTGGACGTGGCTGAGGAGAAGTGTCCACTGCTGCTCAGAGTGGGTTCTCAGGGATGCTGGCAGGGGCTGGCTCTGTGACCCAGTCTCCCAGGTTTACAGTGGTCCCTGGGGCTGCCTTTGCTCAGGCCACAAAGCGGTGACTTAACAAGGCCTGGCTTTCTGGAGGCAGAAGTCCTAGTCAGGGAGGCACCAGGGGCAAAGGACTGAGGCTGGGGAGGCCCCCACCTCCTCCCCATCCTGGCTGGGACTGTTAGATATTGGCTGTCGGCCACATTCCTACTCTTGTCGCTGTCACCTGTGTGGGTCTGAGGCCACTTTCTAATCAGGACATGTGTAACAGGAAGATCCAGGGTGATTGCCTCTGCTCTGGGTCTTCCTCTGGCCACAAATTCCACCATGAGTGGCAACAGATCAGCATGTGGACTTCATTCTGGGACCATCCAGCCCAGGAAGGAGCCACAAGACACCTTCCTAGTTTACCTCTGATACCTAGCTGGTATCAGAATCGGGGCCTCCCTGGTGCAGTGGCCGGTGATGGAGCTTCACGTGCTGCTCTGACGGCTCTGTCTGTGGGTAGCGTGCTGGGAGGCCATGTGGGCAAAGCCAGCCAGGCTCCTTTGGTGGCATCTTGGCGATTCCTCTCAAGCTGGCTGCATTTGTGCCAACTTAGACCCTTACACAGCTCTTCTTTGGGGCCACCATTCAGCCTGCAGCAGCATTTTCTTCTTTTATTAAAATATTCCTGGAGGAGGGGACTAGAAGAAGCACACGGGGCCAGGGGGCTTCCCCCGCATCCCACGGCTGGTGCCTTCCCTGGAGACCCGCAGTGGCTGATTGCCGTGTCCTCAGAGGTGTCCACCCCTATGTGACTGCATGCACTGTCCCTGTCTCCACTTCCCAGGGGTCCAGCTGTTCAGAGGCCAGTTTGTGTGGGTGTGGGCACGTGTGGATGTGTGTGTGCGAGAGAGAAAGAGAGAGAGAGAGAGAGAGAGAGAGAGAGCGCAAACACTCCATGTGGCAGTGGCTTTGGGTCCTGGTTGTGCAAGGGAAGGTGAGAAGTGGGGTCTCTGTCTTGGGCCTGGCCTTCTGTGCAGCCTGACTGGGCGTGAGGGGCTGCCTTCACCCCACTCCAGGCCCGGCCAGTTTTATGGCTGTACAACCCAAGCCTGATCAGAGCTCTGTGATTGCCAGGGCCTCCACTGGGTTTCAAGCTCTTGTGTTGCTACCCTAAAACCCTTATCCATGTAGGAACAAGAGCTCACATTTTATTTTGTGCAAAGACCATGAATCTCATACATAGTTCTATCTTGGGCACCCACCGGGCAGGCACACCATCTTTTGGAGGAGGGGACTCCAGGGCAGGGGTCTCCCTGCACTGGGTGCAGCAGCCACGAGAGTTTTCCTGGTTATGTGGCTCGGAAAGGCTGAGGACAAAGAGAGACAGAGACAGAGAGAGACAGCGAGAGACAGAAAGAGAAGAGAGGGACAGAGCCAGAAAGAGGGGCTTGATGGCCAAATGCTGCAAACAAAAATACTCCACGCCCAGTTCCACCTGAACGTGAGCAAAATGCATCCCGCGCTGGACTCAGAAATTGTTGGCTGTTTTTTGTTTTGCTGGTTTCTGTTACTCCCAGCTGAGGGCATCTGGCCAGGTCAGGAGGAATGCAGTCTCTTCCGGGTCAACTTGGTCAGCAGGCACCACTGGACTGTGGCCAAGATGGCTTTGCTCGCACAGCTCTTCTGTGTGGAGCAGGCCTGCCACCAGCACCCTGAAGCTTCAGGGCTCCTCACAGGGGTGTCAGGGACGAGCATCCGCAGGCCTCACCCCTCGGAGCAATTCGGTTGCATTTAATATGTGTAATGTTCCCAGAAGCAGGTCAGCACTTCGGATCAGCGCCTGGCACGTAACGAGGGCAGCTGCTTCCGTCCATCTGGACCCTGGTTGACATCTCCATGCACGGCTCGCGGGTCTCACCCACCGACGTCTGCTGGTCTCCATTTAATGAGTGATTTTGGATTAGAGTGAGAGCCAACAACAGGGCACTGATCTATATTAATTCTTGGCAAAATGAAAATTGCAAAATTTACTTAGGGTCATTACAGGAGGAAATTTAATCACAGCCTCGCCCAGCAGCTCCGGGTACATAGCGGCACTGCTCTCTCAGAGGATTATAAAGGCGTCCTCCCGGCCCCGGAGGAGCTTCCCGGCTGCTGGCCATTCCTTGAGAGTGCCCTCTTTACCACGCCTGTGCCACACTCCTGGTGGCTCGCTTGGCTGCTTAGAGACTTCTCCATGAGGGGAGCACCAAAGGAGAGAAAGAAGAGAAGCAATTCTTTTTGTGGGAGTAGAGAGCTCCGTCCTGCCACTTCCTATTTTAGGTCAGACAGGGCCTCACTAAGTTACCCAGGCTGGGTTTGGACCTGCGATTCCCTGCTTCAGCCTCCCGAGTACAGCATGTGCCACAGGGCCTGCCGAGACGAGATCTGAGTAAGAAAACTCTCCTACTCCCGCTGCTCCGGAGGCAGCGGAGAAATGGCCTCTCCCTGGCCCTGTTGTCTCAGGAGCTGTGATTCTGATGCAACCACTCGTTTGTCATTGGTATCCCTCTGTCCCTCTCTAGGAGCATTTCCCCTTCCACCTGGGATTCTCCTGCTAGTGCTCAGGAACGGCTTCTCTGGGGCCTTTAGTGCTCAGCAGCAGCACTGGGGGCCGAGCTCGCAGCCGGCAAGCTGCAGGCTCGCCCCCTGCAGGGAGGATGCGCTGGGTCCCTGCACAGCCTCAGGGCCCGGCCCTTCCTCTCCTTGATCCTCTCCACCCTGCCAGCAAATCACCGCTGCTGTGATCCAGGGAGGCCTCCTTGGCTGCTCTGTGAAGGCCGCTCTGTGATCTTGGCAGCTCAGCCAGCCCAGAACCGCAGGCGGGGCTGTCTTTGGGAATCTCAGGCAGACCAGTCGGTCCTCTCCAGCAGGATTAAGGTTGGGCTGGTCACTTCTCAGAGGCTCGGGCCCACTGATCCAGCAGAAGTCACTTGACTCGGGACCCAGAACAGTGGGAGCCGCCGTGGGTCAGGAGCTTACGCCAGTGCTTGCTACTGCGCTGACCCTTAAAGAGGGGCCAGGCTGCAAATCCAGCTCCACCAAGTGACCTGAAAAGCAACTAGCAATGGGAGCAGAGTGGTGGCCACAGGGCTGGGTTGTAGCCACCGGGGTGATGGCAGCTCTATAGGTGGTGGCGCTGGAGGCCACGTGGCTGCACAAATTACCAGTGTGGCTGGCTGTGTGTCTCAGAGGGTGAATTTTACCACATGTGAATTGTACTTAGCAAACACAACTTTAAAATTCAAATTGTATGAGGAGCTCAACTTAGAGCCCATCCTGGGCAACTTAGCCATTTGGACAGATCCTACTTTAAAATCTAAAAATAAACAAATAAATGGGCTGGGGATATTGCTCTGTGCAAAGTCTCAGGGTTCAATTCCCAGTATGCAAAAGCAAACAAAGAAAAGAAAGAAGAAAGATAAAATCGCAGGCTTTTTAAAAGTTCTGAAGGTGACCGCGCTCACACAGGGTCGGGAGCATCCTCAGCGCCAGGGTTGATCACAGTTATGGTGGGAGCACCCGTCAGAGCTAGGACACTTGTGTGTCACACGTGAAGCCCCTGGTTTAGGAAAAAAACATTAAATGGTAGCTGATATGTGTATTCTATCTATAAAAAAGAAAAGAAAGCAAAGCACCTCCTGAGGAACGAGCTGCCCCTCAGGACGGCGATGCCTGTGTGTTCCCACCTGTGTGTTCTTCAGGCAAAGCGTCTTTGGGTTTGATACTTTTGATTCTTCCTTCGGTGGGTGCCGGGCCCCTGTCATTCCTGTCCCTCTGAGGTCTTCAGCAAACAGCAATAGGTCTGTAGTCACTGACGCCCTTGCAGGAGCCACTGCCTGCACTTGCCCAGAGGAAGGATGACATCCACTCCGCGCCGTGGAGGCCAGGAGTGTGCGAGAGTCCCACAGTCCTCCATGGGTCTGTGGCTGTCACCTCGGCCAGGTTTCCCAGTGCATTGAGCGCTAAGGATAGAGCTACAGCATGAGGCGGGAACTGGGCCAGACTCCGACAGCAGCTTGCCGCTCAGCACACAGCGAACAGGGTCTCTGGGCACCTTGGACCTGGCTCCTGAGCAGCTCCCGCCTCCCGTGTCCAGTGTGAGGTGGGGAGGAGCCCGCCTGTGGGGCCTTTGTCCCTTTGGGGTGACGTAGATTATTTAGGAAGCACCAGCCCTGCATGGTGAGGCCACAGTACGGGGATGGAGCATTACTAGTCAGCCAGGTCCCTCTCATGCCAGTCTGCAGAGTGCTTAAGGGAGCTGGAATCCTCGAGAGTGCATGGGTTCCACTGTCCATCAGCACAGCCACTTGCTAGTGAGACGTTAATTAGCCACAATGTCCCCTGCGGTGCCAGGGATGGGTCCATCAGTGATAATGAGCAGATTGAGGGGCACCACACTCCTGTAAAAGTCTTCTTTAAAACAGCCTGATTCAGCACAAACCCAGAGCCCACCTGGCTGCCCTGCAGCCCTGACCTGGGCTCCCACCTGGAAGAAGGGTCCCCCAGGTGGCCGGTAGCTGCAGAGTGGGCAGGGGCACGCAGGCTGGGTGGAGGCAACTGGATGAGAAATGGGGGGCCCAGAAGAGACCCGAGCTCAGGAACCAGGCCCTGCCTGTGCCACCCACGGTGCCACATCTGCTGTTTGTGCTCACTGCACCTCGTGCCATCTTCCTGGACCACAGAAATGCCAATTCTCTCGGGGCCACTCACTGCTCTCCCCTCTCTCTTCTGTCTGACAGGAAGGTGTTGCCTGTCTTTAGGAACAGCCATGTAAACAGCCAGGAACTGCTGAGCGAGGCTCTGGGGTTAACTCTAGGTGCACACTCATTAGCCGTAGGCCTCAGCCCCTGCTTGTACTTCCGTGGTATGTGTCTGGGTCCCTGTGCACAGGGCCTGCGTGGCCCCCAGGGTGGTGGGGAGGCTGACTTTGGTTTGCAATTGAGCTTTGCTGCTTTCCTGCCCCTGGCTTGCTCCTTGGGAAACATGGACAGCGCAAGCTTAGAACTCATCATCCCAAATCCACAGCTCCCAATTCCAGAACTCTCCGGAAACAGAAAGCTTAAAATGCTCAATTGTCGGCAGAGACGAACATGGCCAATGTCTGACTGGCCACAGGTATCCATTCAGGAGAGCGTCTGGGGTAAGCTTGGGCACTGCTGCAGCCCCAGGACTGCATGCCACACCTTTGGGACCCTGTCCCCCGGGATCACATAAGGCCTGTTCCTCCAAATGCCAAGGGAGAGAGCAGCTGCTCCGCTGGCCTCCCAAGGCCACTTGGGGTCAGAGTTCTGGCCAGGTTCTGCCTTGGTCTGTCTTTGTCTGTGTGACCAATCTGTTTGGGTGATTGTTCATGGCTTCAGTCGAGACATCCTGGGTTTTAGAGCAGAAAGGACTGCCCTGTGGAAACCCAGGCAGTGGTTCCCATATAACCGGAGTAAAACACCAGGTCACACATAAGGAAGCTGCCAGGTAAGGGCTTGAAATGCAGCCTGGGGGCCCACGTGAGTCCAGGGTCCAGATCCAGGGACTTCATGGGGAGAAAGCTGTGTGCACACACATGCACAAGTACACACATACCACACACGTGTGTGTTCATGTGCACATGCTGCACACATGCATGAGCAGCACATATAAACACTACCCACACGTATGACACACACCAAATACATGTCACACAGACACACAAATCCCCCCATACATGTGTTCATCACACACAACACAGATAAACATGTCATACAGGCACATCAATCTCACATACACGTGTTGGGCAGCACTGAGGCAGAGGATACTGTGGCCCATGCTTGTCTTGCCTGAGAGGCTGGGCTGATGACTGCTGGTCAGTTCTCTTCTGGTCAGCACTTCTCTTCCAGACCAGCTGGGTCTACCACAGGCCAGAAGCAACAGACACCTCAGCTGCAGCAGCACCCGGGCCTTGAGACTGGAAACACACATGGGATGTTTTAGGGAACCTGCACCAGTGGTTAGGGGAACAGGGATGCCTGGAGGGAGATGGTGTTTCTCCCCAGAGAGGTGGAGTAGAGAGGCTGGACTGTGGGGGCAGCGAGCCCTGTGATGGGCCCTGCTTACTGGATGCAGCCCCCAGGAGCAGACCCTGCCCTGTGGGGTCCCGTGCTTCCTCCCCTGGTCCTGAGAGGCACAGGACGAAGAGCTGGGGTTGCTTTGCTCTGTGTCACTGCCAGCCTCATAGCAGTGAGACCCCCCCCCGCCTCAGACATGCAGACCCTCGCTGGTGAAGTAGACACCTGCCTGTGTCCATGACATTCGGAGTGGAAGCCATGGCACCACAGCTCTGTCTGCAGGGACTGTGGAGGACAAACTGGCAGGGTGGCGGCTCTGTCCAGAAGGGGTGGTCAGGGCCACCACCCAGAGGTCAGCAGACAGCCATACAGGTCCCATCACAGTCACTGGCACACAGAGTCCTGAGTGCTAGCAGCCAGGTTCCTATACAGAGCCCTTTGGTGAGGGCCCTCTGCGAGCATGTCCCAGCCATTCTGTCCAGCATCATTCAGAGAGGCCCGGGGATCTTCATCCTGGTCCTGCCTGCATTGGGCAAGCCAGGGGGATATTGCCACCCTGCCCTGATGGTCTCTGCGCCTTCTCACTGGTGTGGAGCCCCCAGGCAGAGGAAGGCTGCCAACGATCCATGACGCACTGGCCCTGTGACCAGGCTCCGAGAGGCAGTTGGCCCCCTGCACAGGAGGTGCAGAGAGCATTTGTTCCCAGGGACTTTGTGACATTGGTGCCATCCATGGTCAGAAAGCAGGAAACTCTGAGAGGGCCAGGCAGTGACTGGCTCCACATGCCTAAAGCACTCAGGCTGCAGATGATAGCAGCACAAATTCATCCTGTCAGGTGCTCTGTGGCCATCAGGGAGCTGCGCCTGTGTGTGTCTCGGGGTGGCGGCCAAGTACCCAGACTCTCCAAGGCCCCGTTAGGGCAGCCAGAACAGTTCTCATGGAATGGGGGGTGGGGGCTCAGGCCTCACGTCAGGCCAGATCAAGGGCCCCAGGAGGGCGACTGACTGTGGGCTCATCGCTTTGGACAAAGTGGGCCCCAGGGGCAGAAGGAGGCTGAGCGCACAGAGGCTGCTCACTCTCCAGAGCAGAAGCTGTTTCTGGGACCCCCGAGGGAGACTACCCTCCTGTGGCTGTGGTCCCTGATAGGCGAGCAGTTGAGAGCTTGGGGACAGAAGCCAGTGGCAGGTCTACTACAAACAGCTCAGCATCGCCTTCCAATGGCCATGCCTCTAGGAAGTGCAGTCGTGCACCTATCCTGGACAGCGGCTCCCTGGGACGCCTAGGGACACCGATCCCACAGATGCCGCCGCAGAGCAGACAGCCTGAGCATGACACGGGCAGCATGGTTTACTGGGGGACCCCTTTTCCATGCCTACACTTGAAGCTGATGCCCTCCTTTGCACCAACCTCAAGTGTGCTTCTGATCTCACTGAGAGCTGCTCACAACAGCTTTTCTACGGTACACAATCACACACACCTCGGGCACTTAGACTGCAAAAGAACAGCTCACTTCCTGCCGCAGGGAAAACGCTGCCTCCTCGAAAGGTCACTTTGCTAATCAAATTCACAGCAAATGGGTTTCATTCCTTCAGGGTTAAATTCGCAAATGTGTATTAACTTCCTAACTATATGAAGCACACTTTCGCTGGGGCATTGGAGCCCATGACCAGGGCTCCAAGTCCGAAGAGGCAATTGTTGGAGAAATGACTTAATACACTGCAAATCCCCCTGTGTCCATCCCTTCAAATGGGATGCCAAAGTGATTAGACTAAAAACATATCACAAACAATTTACATTACAAAATTGCTGTAATCATTTTCTGCTGGATTAAGCGGAGCTTAGAAGCTGCTCCTCGTCCCACCCGGAGATCTTTCAAACAGGCTGCCGAGAAGCCTTGCTCCCCACCCCTCTAGGGAAACAGTATTTGTCCTTACGAAGAGGCGCCTCTTGCATTCCCAGCCTGCAAGGAAAGCAGACATGCATGATTGGCAAAGCTGGTCTGTGCTGGGTGCTCTTCAGCCTGATCACACGGTGGCCGGACGTCCGAACAAGTGAGAGGGACGAGCTCATCTTTTGGATGAAATGAACAATAAAATGAACAGCTGCAAACCAACCTGTGTCACAGCAACAGGAGCACCTCGGGTGGGCGGAGGAGGGGAAGCTGGGAAGAGGCGTGGGGTTCCAGGATCCCGCGGCTGGAGATAGGCAGGCACCGCTCTGCCTTCCTGCGACCTGCGTCTGTGAATTGGGGATGAGTTTCGAGCAGGGACATTTCCTAACTGCAGGCAAATCAAAGATCCCTGTTATCAGGTACCTTGGGCACTGTTGGAGCCAAAAGCACCACCAGCCTATTGTGTAGTTGGGGAAGTTCTGTGTGTGGGCAGAGTGACAGGCTTTGGGGCTATCTGTGTCTTGGTTACAGTGAGCACAGGGCATCACAACATGGGGAGAGAAAGTCTGAGTGTTTTAGGGAAGGAGAGGCCACGGGTCCCCATTTTTTTCTTCTGACCTATTCAGCACTCTGCTCCTGCCTGACAAGCTGGCAGGTGCCAGGGCGAGCTGCAGGCTGGTGTGGACACAGCAGAAGCGAATGAAGAGGAGGCAGGATACAGCTGGGCTGCTTGCTCCTGCCTCAAGCCCCCACGAGCTGGGCTTTGCCAATGAGTCCCTGCCTTGACCAAGGCCAACCCAGGGGCTCCTGACCTACGAGTCCAGAGTCCAATCTACGGATTCACCAAGCAGGGCTGTGGCTTTCATTTGCGTGGTCAGCAGGGGAAGAAGCTGCTACTGCTCCAAGGCTAACCCGTCCTCGAGGTGAGGACTCAGAGCCGTCACCAGTGGTGGTGCAGGGTTTCCACCTCCTAACTGGCTGCTCCTGGCAGCACCCTGGTGTTGGCGCAGTGGGCCAGTGCAAGGCTGGACACATGGCCACCACTTCTGGGCAGAAAGCTGACCGTGGCCCTTCTTGTTTTTCTTGCCTGCTGTCCTGGCCCCTGCTGCACTTTGGAGGGTGACTCTGACTCAGGATGAGAAAGGAAACAAGGCACTGCCTATTTTCCTGGTTCCACATTTTATCCCAAGTCAGCAGACATTTACAGGGGGAAGCAAAGAGCTCAGCAGACTACTGTGCAGCCTGGGGCTGCCCTACCCAACATGTGGTCCCCCCCAGGCACGGCCACGGAGCGCTGGAGCTGTGGCCGGCTTGAAAGGAAGTGCGCCCGGCAGCAAGACTGCAGCTTGATTTAGTACCAAAAAGAGGGAAAGATGCCAGTAACAATTTTAAAACATCGATTACACCCGGAGATGAAATTTTGGGGGTATGTTGGGTTGAATAATATTCATCAATACAATTAATTTCATCTGCTTTTGTTCACTTTTACGTGGCCACTTGAAAACACGAATTGGACACACAGTCTGAGCTCTCTCTTGGAATGGACATGCTGACTCACAGGGCTGGAGGTGACACTCAGCCCAGAGGACACTGAGGTGAGCCTCACCACAGCTGCATGTCTGACCTAAGAAGAACCTAAATATACGCTCAGGAAGCTCTTCTGGATTGCATTCCTCCACCTGGCTTTGGAGAAGCCCGGGCCCTTACCGGTCAGGTGCGAGGGGAAGACCCATCACAAGGCTCTGCGCCCTGCCGGGACACAGCCTTTCCAGACAAGATGTTAACCCCATGTGCAGGAAGCCTCCAAGACAGACAAGGGAACCTGAGTGCTGGGATTCTGCTGGGTGGCACCTGGCTTTGGGTGCAGTCTTAAAACTGAAAATCTGAGACTTCATTTTGATAGATGGTGTTGCTTTGTCAGTGGCCACTACGGAGAAAGCTACTGAATTTCATTTTGAAAAACCATACTCCACTCAACCCCAGAGAAAGGCTTGTGACATTTTGGGGGGGGGGGGGCAACAGATAAACAGCTTGGCAATTTAAAAAAAGGTTAAATATAATTTGAACTTTTATTTAAGCTAAATTATTGGAGAACATTTTAATTAGAGAAGTGACCCTTTTGAAAATCTATTTTTCATCCAAAAGAGGAAGACAGATTTTTCTTTTTCACCTTTTTTCTTATAATTTCATTTATTTGCTAATGAGTATCTTCCAGATCAGTGTCAGCATTTTGGAGACCTTTTGGGCCCTAAAAGCCGGGCTCCCGGATGCACACAGTTGTCTGAAAATTTAAATCATTAATTCAGTCACAGCTGGACACTTTATAATTTGATATTCAAATTTAATTATATTATTTTTGCAAAAGAAATTGAAATCCAATACTTTATTTTGGACCACACACCTCTGGTCTTAAATGAAATACACAACTATCTCTAATTATGTCAGTAGTTTATAGAGTTGATGAAGGATAGCTTTGAAATGACTCCAAGACATTCAGGTTTCCTATTTTCCTGCCCTAATTTATCTATAAATAGTCTTAGCACTCAGCTTTTTGAATGTGCAGAACTTGATAAACTAGCCTCTTGGGAGAGAGGACAGGGGATAAAAATGGAATTTGGCAGAAACCAGCATTAAGCACAAGCCTTTATGAGTAACACTTCATCACACATTTTGACTTGCAAATACAAAAGGGCCCTTTGAAACGCATTACTTAAATGCCAAAGACAGGCGCTTTGCGGTGAGGGCTCTGATTCTGTTTGCATTTACGATGGCCAAGGACAGGTGCCGATCCGAAAAGGCTGGGCGCAAAGCCCCTTCTGTGGGCAGCGAGGGGCTCCCTACAGGGTACTCACCCGTAGCCCGGCCTCCTCCCTCCCTCAGAAACGCGTAGGAGTTGCCAGGGAGGGTTTGTTGGGTCCTGGGGTAGGACAGGGTCCTCCGAGGACGCTCTAGGGTCCACTATGTGCTCAGCATCCCGGACCCATCCTCCTTGAAGCCTCCTTAGGCAGACGGCAGAGGCGGGGCTGGGGAGTCCGGGCCATTTAGGGGTGAATTTGTAGACTTCCAGGGGTTTGCGTCCTGAGCCTCTAAGACAGCCAGGAAGTAAGCAGATCAAACTCAGAAAGACGGAAAGCTCATTGTTCAGCATTTTCTCCCAACATTTTCTGGGATCCAACTCCAGCTCTTTTGCCAGAAGCCACAGTGGAGTCTGGCAGAGCACCCCGGCAGCCGGCAGGGAGCTGGAGACCCCAGTGGCAGAGGGGAGGCGCCGCCGGGCCACTTGTCTCCGGGTCACACTCAGCAGGGGGATCCTCAGTGCAGTCGGCAGGGCAGAGGGCAGAGTCCTCAGAGGCCAGGCAACGCTGCATGAGCCCAGCTGAGGCAGACGGGCCGCTGGCCTGAGTGGGCCCGGGGACCCTGACTTCACCTCTGAGACCTTGCTCTAGGCTGCTTTTGAAAGTGATCAGCGCTGCCTGAAGGGAGCTCGGTGGTCAGGGAATGCTGCGGGTTCCAGGGCGTGGGTTCCAGCGCCAAGTGCCTGGCTCAGTCTGGGCCAGCGCAGCTTCGCTCCCCGCGAACCCCAACCGTTCTTCACACTGCCATCGGCGGTGGTCTGTCTGCATCTCCGGCGCAGGCGGCGTGACAATCCTGGGGGGTGAGGGGCGAGCAGCAGGAGGCACCGCGGCCACGTCGTGGTCACGGCTTCTCGCTGCAGTGTTTGCAGAGCGCCGAGGGCGACCCGGAGAAGGAGGCGCACTTGTCGGGGCAGGGTCCCAGGGCTGCACCGGCCGAGAAGGGGTACACAGCGGCCTGGCCGAAGGGCGTCAGGGGCGCCGGGGCCACGGGCGCGGCCAGGCCCTGACCCTGGTTGAGGTAGGCCACCAGGCGCCGCATCTCGTCCAGGGCCTGCGCCTGCATGAGGATGTAGTTCTTGGCCAGCAGCAGCGTGGCGATCTTGGAGAGCTTGCGCACCGACGGGCTGTGAGCGTAGGGGATGACCGCGCGCAGCCCGTCCAGCGCGTCGTTCAGGTCGTGCATGCGCCGCCGCTCGCGCGCGTTGATGCTGAGCCGCAGCGAGCGCTGCTCCCGCGGCCGCCGCCGCCCGTCCCCCGCACCCCCGGGCCCGCGCCGCCGCCGCCGCCGCTCGAAGCCGTCGTCCTCGTCGCCGCTCTGCTCGCCGCTGCTTTCCGTCGCCGCGGCCGGGGCGCGGGGCGCGGGAGCTGCGGGGAGGTCGCCGCCGCCCGGGCCCGGCGCGCAGTAGCCGCGGGCCGCCTCGGGTCCCCGCACCGTCCCGTAGGCGAGGCCGGCGGCCGCCGCGTAGCCGTGGCCCAGCGCCAGGTACGCGTCCCCCGACAGCGGCTTGAGCTCGGCCATGGCCCGCCGCCTCCCGCCGCTCCCGCCGCCGCCTCCGGGCCGCGCGGGCCGGCTCTGCGCCCTGGCGCCCCGCCTCGGTTTTAAGCCGCCGAGCCGCGAGCTGGGACGGACGCCGTCCAATCAGCGGGGCCCTGGCGGCCAGCGCGCCATCACAGCCCGGCCGGGCGGCCCCACCCCGCTCACCCCAGCCGGGCCGCGGCCTCGCCCCTCGCCCCTCGCCCCTCGCCCCACCCGGGGAGGCCGCGAGCGGGGCCCGCCTCCGCGCCTCCCAGCGGCAACTCCCGGCGCCCCGAGGTCGCGGCCGGGCCGGGCCAGCAGGCGGCACCTCCTGGGACCGGCAGGCGGAGAGAGACCGGGCGGGCTCGGGCTCGTCAGACCCTCGCCGAGGAGGGGCGCCTCCCGGCCTCGTTCGCGGGGTTCCCAGAGCGTCCGCGCCTGACCCGCAGGCGTTCACCGGCTCCCGTGGACGGCAGGCGCGGGCGGCGCAGCTGGAGAGCAGAGCTGGCGGCGGGAGCTGGCTCGGCACCCCGGAGGGAGAGAGGGGTCGGGCGGGGCTCACCTGGCCAGGCCCGAATCCCAGCCAGGACTCCGCCCCGGAGCGAGTGGCTTCGGGCCAGGGTGCTGCCGGGCGCCCGCCTGGACCCCGTGCTGAGCTGCCACTGGCCGGGTCAGGTCTGGATGCTGAACTGGTCACTGGCTGCAGCTGCCCCGAGGGCGAGAGCCGGCCCAGCCTGAGCCCTGGTGCTGGGGAGTGGGATTTGGGGCGTCGGGACCGCGGAGTTCCCAGTGCGGCGGGACCGGCCCGGGCCCTTGGACCGGGGAAGGCATAAGGCCGAGGACGCCCCCCATCCCGGGACCGTGAGGAGCCCAGCTTCCTCCTCCTCCCCGGGTGACTTCAGATCTCGACGCCCGCCGCGCCAGCCCTCTGGACGGGCTGAAGGCAGGGTAAAGACTCCAGAGTCGGCCCTGTATCAGGGCGGGTGGGGTACCCCCTCCGGCACAGGCCTGCAGGGGGGCTGTGGGTGGGGCAGGGCTGAAAGTGCGGGCCCCTACTCGGGGGCGCAGGCGATGGTGAGATAGGCGTCCTAGCCTTTGGAAATCCTTTGCCGGGAGCCGACTTCCACCCGGGAGGGAGCCCGAGGGGTTACAGCAAAACTAGGGGTTCTGAAGTGGGACCTGAGCTTTGGGGTGTCTGTGTCCCCAGCCAGGAGTGGAGCTTTGGGCTGGTTAATCCAGAAGCTTTTCTTTCAGCCTCCTCCAGCTCCGAAGGGCTAGAGGCAAGGGACAGGGGACAAGACGGGCCACTAAAGGCGCCAGTGGAAGGCCACCTGCTCCAATGGCTGCACAGCCCGCCGGAATTCTGCGGAGTGGGGCAGCGTTTTCAGGCTGATGCTGCCACCTACTGGCATTCAGGGAGATTGCATGGCAGCGGGACTAGGAGATGGAGAGGCGAGCTCACTCTGGTCCCTACGGGATTATGCGCCCCTGGCCGGTGGGTGGGGCTGCTTCTCACCTATGCAAGGCTTGCAGGTCACCTGTGGGACTGAGGGCTCCGGGCCTCAGCAGATGACCAGAGCCCTTGCCCGGCCTTGGCAGTGAGTGTGTGGAGCAGCTCTGCACGAAGGAAGGGGCGTACTGGCCAGTTGCTCAGCTCCCCTTGGCCTCTGTGTCCACATCTGTAAAGCGCGTGTTGTACCCTTGAGTTGGCTCCACCAGGCCTTTCAAGAGCAGAGTCCCCTAGACCTCCCCTGTGGCAAATCACATGTGCCAGTGTGGCCCCAGATGGCTGACGCATCTGCTCCGAGCTCAGGTCAGCTCCCTAGGACCAGCTGCGGGACTTTGGAGACCATGTCTTGGGGACAGAAAGGTGGGGAGGGGTAGTAGCTGGAGCGGAGGGGACTCACTGAGCAGCCGGCATGTGAGGGGAGCAGGCCCTGGGAGGAAAGAGCTGGCTGTGGCCTGGGGAGTCACTGAGACCTCGCTGCCCGGCTCATCTGGCTGAGCCCCGCCCACACTGCCCTTGTCTGACAGGCCGCTGCTCAGCTTGGACCCACCCCCAGCGCGCCATCCCCAACACCGGGAGGTTCATCGTTGCTGTGTCGTCTGTAATGTCGTGGCCATTTTCTTGTGAAGCATCCTTTAAAAATATCTAATTTTTTTTGTTTGTTCGTTTTGTGCTGGGGATTAAACTCATGACCTCGAGTTTGCCAAGCAGGCACTTACACCGCTGAGCTAAAACCCCAGCCCCCAAGATACCTAATTTTACACAAAAAGCCAAATTGGCCAGTACTGGGCATGGGAGAGTTAAGGCCAGACACTGGACGAGGCCCAGAGGATATTTATTTTAAGCTCCTTTATGTTTTTATTGATTTTGTATTACATCTCTAAACTCGCCCTCGGGTTATTTTTTCCTGTGACATTTCCTAATCGTGAAACCTTAAATAGTTCACAGATTCTTCGCCTTCTGGTGTGGCTGATTCTGCACGGCAAGTTCCCTGAGATCTGGGGACAGCTCCTGCTGCCACCATCTGGGCCCAAGAACACCGGAGGGCTTGGCTGTCCTCTGGGGCTGAATTGAGCCTGAGGTTCCGGGTGAGACCACCCTGCCCCTGTTGCTTGAGGGGGTGCACAGCGATGGGGTTTGGCCTGAGCGTGGGCTGCCCTGCCCACTAGTTGGACTCAGGAGGCCTCCTGTCTCCCATAGGGGAGCCTTCTAGCACCTGTCACCTTTTACCAAGTGTCTCTCCCACGCCCTCAGAGCCCTCACGGCTCCCCGGGAACAGTTCAGCCCTTCCCCAGCGCCCCGGGTGGTGGCTTGGCCGCCCCCTCCACTCCGGGGCACACATTTCCCGGGGCCCCTTGTCCTCCCACTGCCACCTCTGACATTTGTGCCACACTTGAGGGCTTGCTGCTCCCCACTGCCTCCCGCTCCTGCACCCCACCCAGGCACCCATGCCCTTCCAGGGTGATGAGAGAAATTGTATTTTAAGATCAGCTTCATTAAGATGCGTCCCACAGCCTGTGGGTCAGTCATTTATGATGCGATGGTCAACAGTTCTTAGTATGCCTGTTCATGTGTGTCACTGTTCCCTCGCCAGCTCAGGACGTTTCTGTCTCCTGGAGAGGCCCTGTCCCTCCCTGGCCTGGCAGAAGCTCCTGTCTGCACCTGGCTTCACCTGTCCTGGGTCTCACGCAGTGGAAGTGCCCAGGCGTCTCCAATGTGGCTTCACACACCCCACAGGGCAGTAGGGGAGGGAGCTTTCTAAGTGTCACCTCCTGGAGGGGCACATGGGATGGCACCCCATACTCATCACTTCCCGACCTGCTGATGACCGGACTGTGGCCCGGTCAGGGGTCGCCTTGAGCTGCTGTGCACATCTGACCTGGAGTCAGAAACATCGCTGCGTGCTGCGGGCAGCAGGAGGACAGACAGGAGGGGCCTGGCGGTTACCATGTTGCCGACTCACAGGAAAACGCCCCTGCACCTGTCACCAGCAGGGCGCCGTGTCTGCCTCGGGGTCTCCCAGGCCTGCCGCCCCGTGCACTATGATGACAGCGTCTGGGACTCGGCCTCCCTTCTGGAGGGACGAAGGACGAGGCCCCTGGCTGTGCAGGCGCCTCCTCTCGCTTGCTCAGTCCCTGCTGCAGCCGCTGAGAACAGCACAGCCAGGCTGCGCCGAGGAGCCGCCATGTTGCTCTGAAACTGCGCTTAGCAGATTCCTCGGTGGGGAAGCAGCGCTGAATTCTCTGAATTCTCTTGGGTAAATACACAGACGCATGAATACATCTTAAGTTTTCTGATTTCTAATTTGATCCCATTGTGGTGGAAGAGCAGTGTTCTGAGATGGTAATTTTATTGGGCATAGTTTCCACTTCCGTTTGTGGTCAGTCTTGGAAAAAATCCCACAGGTACTTCAACCGCAGAGCGCGTGTGTAAGTGAGGTGTGTGTGTGTGTGTGTGTGTGTGTGTGTGTGTGTGTGTGTGTGTGGCTCAGGGCGCAGCACGCTCCACTCGTCCGGTCGAGCCTTCTGCTGAACCCTTTGGTCTCTGTCCTTTCATGTTCCTCATCTAGATGCTGACAGAGGTGTCCTAAGTCTGTTTCTCCCTGTAATTGACATGTGACGTGGGAAAGCTGACAGATAACAAGGAAATGGACAGTCCCCCACCCAGACACCACGATTACTGTGCAAAGTGTATTCCCTAAACACACTCACGTGATCACTCACACTCTTTGCTGGCCTGTGCTTTAGGTCCAGCATGTGCTCAATTAAAACATCACTACACTTCATTGTTTTCAGAGCAGTTTTAGGGTTACAGAAAAATTGGTCAGTGTGTGTCTGGTTTGTTTCACTTAACGTTAGGTTCTCAAGGTGCATGCATTCTCCTACAAATGACTCCAGCCCGCCTTTCCTTATGGGAGAAGCATACACCATGGTGTATGTCTTGGTTACTTTTCTCTCGTTGCTGGGACAAGACCACCCAACACCCAAAATAAAGGAAGGAAAGGTTTATTTTGCTCACGGTTTGTGGAGGTTTCAGTCCATGATCAGCAGGCTCCATGGCAGGGTGGAACAGCACTGGATTAGCACTTCAAGGCAGCAGCCCAGCAAAAAGGAAAAAACAAGCCTCTTCTCCTCCCTTATGTCGAACACAGACCACTCTCTCCCAGGGCGGTGTGGCACTCACAAAATCCCTGTGCCCTCCTCTTGCACAGGATGAGGATGTTTACAAAGTAAGGACCCTGGCTCTTACCGAATCTCCTTGTTAAACCTCTAAGCTTCTCAAGTTGACACAATGTACCAACCATAACTGTGTGGATGGTACCTTGTCCTTACCAGTTGTTTGTGAATGGGGCATACAGGCCACTCTGAAGCTTCAGCTAACACAAATGATGGTGCTGCAAATGTGAATGTGCCTGTATCATCACTGTAGTACGATGTCTTCAGTTCTTTCAGGAAGATACGTAGGAGAGGAACAGCTGCGTTAAATGGAATTTCTAGTTTTAGTTTTCTGAGGAATCTCCATACTGATTTCCGTAG